GAAGGGGGGGGGGGGAGAAGATAGACGAAGCAAAAATAAAATATAAAAGAAAGCAAAAACAGCAAGAAACAAAAAACTGAAGAAAAATATTTAATATAATAATAAAATTTAATTATGCTTACGCACATGTCCCTAAGTCTCGTATAGTAGTAAATTATTCAGCGTATATATATACACGCGCGCGCGCACACACACACACACACATACACACAATATATGGTCGATGCTCTTTGTTTCTTTACCTTGGTATGGAATCTCTGTTCTTTTTTATTGATTATTCACAGATGCTTGTCTATTCAAAGAAAATACCTTGGCTCTGTATTAGGTTGAGATTAAAATAAAGTTACGTTCGGTCTAATTTAAGTAAGTACTACCTTTGACTGAATATAAATAGACTAGACGTGTCCTCCGTAGATTCTATGTCTCGCAGTTCTGAAGCGTAGAATATATATCTATATATAGAATTTCAATGGGTAAAGTCCAATTGTAGGTATCCGCGACATCCAGGTTCGCATTACACCATCATATCTCATAATATGCCCAGTCTATTTAACTCTTCAATCAATGATAGTACACATGTATGTAAAGTTTCGCACGGTGCACCAGTGTGTTTGAGTGTGTGTGCATTGTGAGCGCGTTCTCAAATAACAAAAAAAGTTGATATATCGGCAAATTTTTCTACGAGCTGTATATTTTACGAGATCGATTTTTTGTTACGCTTTTGTGTTACGTACATAAATTTTTTTTTCTATGAATAGTATTAAAAATTTCTTTACAATCGTCGAGATCACTCGACGAGAACGAGTGAGAACGTGAGATTAAAAAATAAAAGAACAATGAAAGAGCGAATGTGCAAATGCATCAGAAAGACCGTGTGTTTGAAATTTTAATGAAAAAAAATGACATTAGTAACTTGAGAATTTTCATTGACATCTTTCCTTTTTTGATTTTTTATTGGCACGAAGGAAACGTGATAAAGGACGAAAATGGAGTTATCGATAATATTTATGTAATCGTCGATTGCCGGTCGTATGCTTAGATCATTATTATAATTATCATGATTACAGTACATGTCGCCACTAGCGTACGAGCGATCGAAATAAAATATTTTCTTTCTTCCCTACAGTTTGGCTTATCGACGTTTTTATTTGTATCGAAATAGTCAATAACTATCTTGAACTGAGATTTTATTTTGAACATAGAGTTTTATAAGACCTCTATTCATCAGTGTGTGTCAAATATCATAGCTAACAAAGAAAAGTTGACGTGAGTTACGGTTTCTATATATTTTGGTGTTCATTTGTACGCAGTAAAACTAATGAAATATGGTAAAAAAAAATATCCTTTGCACCTGTGAGATGTCGGTCTTATTTGTCAACGGTGGATTCTATACATATGTAGTGTACGTGAACCAAACAACTTTCATCATGAAGAGTATGGTGGGTATTTTAAATATTTATCCAATACTTATAATATTTTGATGCAAGAAAACAATTTAGTTTGGGTCTTGTGTAATTTTATACTCAAGTAAAAAGTTTTTTGCATTTTGAACAAGTGCATACAAGTGTGGGAAGTTCACGCGTATCATATACTATTTGATAGTATTATGATAGTATATGATACTATTATTATATATCATAATGTAGTATTTTGGCATTTCTAAAATCAATATTAGTTGCAGATTTTACAAGTCTCTTTATTTCACCATAGCAACTGTAACGATTACATAGAACAATTAGCATAACTGTAATTGATTGTATATCTATAATATGGGATCGTTTATACATATGTGTCCCGCAATTACCGCATAAAGAATTAGGAAAGTAAATCTATAATATTAACTGGGGCACAATTGAATTTCATTGAAGTTAAAAGTCAGGATAGATTAATGTTAAAGACCTATGTTTGTTACAGGGTAACCATGCCTTCCGTTTTTCGGCACATCCGTGTTAGCACAGCACTTATTTGAAGGGAAAACTTTTTTGCATAAAAAATATCCACGCAGATAGTATTGCAAAGCTTAATTAATAACATACAAATCGGATAAAATATTTCTGTGAAATGTTATTTTTTTGTAGAATCGATTCTGATTTTTATGTAAACTATTTCATAGAAAAGTAAAAACGAGTGGTTGATAAATTGCGAGGACGGTCATGCTGTGTTTATCTCGTTATATTTGGTAGTACCGATTTTTGTGAATGCTTTATATATTTTTAAAAGGGTTATTAAAATTGAAATTTTTAGTATTTGATATTTTATCAGTTTTGGACGAGACGCTAATAAAGGTGGATTCTGCGCAGAGATTTTTGTGAGCAAAAATTGTTTGTATTCAGTTACGGTTGTATCTTCACGCACATGCATAAATATCGAATATCGTTTTTGATTAAGTTTCTTATATAACGATATGTTCACACTTCGTAGATATTTTTATTATTATTAACGACGTAAGAGTTATTCTTCGGACTGTTGAGACTACACTGACTTTTTACTAAATACATGTTAATTCTGCGTACAGATAATTAACGCATCCGATCAAAATGCAATGAGAAATGCAATATATTGGTATTTTGTAATTATTTACGTTTTATATTTGTTCTTTATGATAATTATCATTTTCTACGTTTTATTTTTTTTTAAATAAGAAACATACATATATGTAATGGAAGCAAACTGTGAAATCGTGTAAAATGATCGTAGTAGAAAGGCATTTTTTTCTCACAATTTTTTTTTGTATAAAAGTTAGGTAGTCTATTTTTATTTAAACTCTCTAACGGAAGCCGAAAGGTAGGATTAATTGTATAAAATTTTTTATTGCGAAATACGAACTACAGCAAAAATGCCTTCGTTAAAATTTTCCGTTTTATAACTCCTATTTCTACCGTAACCAAATTACCTTAATACTATCTTAAACAGAGTGGAAAATATTTGAAAATACTGCTATTGTACAGATTATTCGTGTTTTGGCGGTTTTCTTATAATATTTTTCTCTCTTGGATCGTAAAGAGTTAACAAAAGATCATTATAAAAATGTTGGAGCTATATATGGGGTGTATACAAGGTTAGTCAGTAGAAACTCACCAGCAGAAGTTGGCCGCAAGTGGCCGACACGGCAGTGTGGCCTCTTCAAAAAATGACACGTGACTGTGACCGATTCCCATAAGCGCAAACTGACAGTTCGCATAGTAATAAGGTTATTGAAATATTTCAATAGTTAGGTAACTGAAATAATTAATTAATATTGCAATGACAAAATGTAATATCAGTTAAGATTTATTTTCACAACAGATTGCAATTAAAACAATATAAAGTTTAAAATATTCACAATGTTGATATTTCCAAGTAATGATCACAACTGCAATTTTGCAATACAATGCTGCAATTAATTTAAAAATCAATTAATTGAAATATTTTATAGCAAAAAAGTGCAGGAAAAAAATCGGTTGTGAACATAAATCTTAACTGACATTACATTTTGTCATTACAATATTAATTAATTATTTCAGTAACCTAACTATTGAAATATTTCAAAAATCTTATTGCTATGCGAACTGTCAGTTTGCGCTTATCTCAAATCGGTCACAGTCACATATCATTTTTTGAAGAGGCCACACTGCCGTGTCGGCCACTTGCGGCTAATTTCTGCTGGTGCGTTTCTACTAACTAACCCTGTATGTATGTATATGTATGAACGACGAACTTCAACAGATACCAATTAATTAGTGTCGATACACAATAACATAGTACTAATAATACATCGAATAAACTTATAACATAATATTCGTTACCGAATAGATTCCATTGACAGCATGTAATCATCGGCTCTATCGCATTTCAATGAATAACATTAACTAATTAATTGTGCGTAGAATTAATCTCCGATTCTATTAACGATTGAAACTCAAAACGATTCTGGAAAAACGCGTAAAAATCTGTCGAAAAGGAAAACGACGTGCAACAAACGCGGCTCATAGTCAAGCGTTCATTTCTTGTCCTATCCAATTAAATTAGGTTTCGATCAATGATTTTTCGGCCATCTTGGTATTTTGGTACTTTAGAAGAATTGTCAAAAAAATTGACATTGTTTTCTTCAAAAAATTAATTAACGGTATACCCAAGATGACTACCAGTCTTTACGCTTTCTGCGCTTTTTCTTTTTCATCCATTTCCTCTAGATTCTCGAGTATATTAATAAAGTAATATACGCTTGTCCACAGCTTTACGACATATAGGACATTCGGACATCCTGTCACCACACATTTGACAGGTGCCATGACCGCATAGGAAGATCATGTTTTTCAGACGATCCAGACAGACAGGGCACATTGTCTGTAAAGTAGAACATTACAGTTAATTATTAAAAGAGATGAAAGGATTTCAGTGATAAAAAAAAAGAACTGGATAAAGTAGCAAGGTGAAAAACAAAATGACTTGAATATACATATTTATAGTATCGTTAAGTTATATCCACGCAATGACTGATGTGCTCCAGGCTATTTTTATAAATCATAATAACGGCATTACATCAAGCTAATGCGAACAGGTAATATAAGCACAAAACATTGCTTCAGAACAACAGTGTATTTTTTTATAAGACGCTCCTTCATGTTTTTAATATTTTTTACTCAAACGAGTATTTTTGATAGAAAAGAAGGTAGAGTCTCACACAGATAAATTATTCAGGATTATTAGGTATAAACAGAAAGTTGCCATTAAATTATTTTACCTGCTCTTTAATATCTTGTAACTGTTGCTGTAATTTCTGAATATCGCTGTGAGAAATATCGCGATTTCCATTATTCATAAGAACAGCCTCTCCGGTGCTGGAATTCGAGGGGGCAGGTTCATCCTTAGAATCAGCCTTAACCTCTGCTATGGTGCCTAAATGAATAGAAGAGTGAAATAAGAAAATGGACAAAATTATAATAAAAAAGAAAGTTATCTAGAGCTGTTAAGCAATGGAAATTGCCAAGTACGATACTGGTTATTATAATCGAAAAAACATGCAGGTACGCGAAGGATACTTTGAAAAATGATTTAATTGGAGATATTAAAATATTTAAAATCTGAGTTATTTTCATTGCAACACAGTGTATGTACATATACACTATAGTATATTCTTGAAAATTTATTGCACAATTAATACACGTATTACCGAAAAAAACTACTGATAATATGTTCAAAGTTTTTATTTTGTAAAAACACGCTGTTAATCAAGTTGGCAGTACCTGATGCATTGCATTCTTCAACGTAAGTAACATCACCTCCTCCGCCGCAGCAAATTGACATCGGTATCATGAACTGAATCTGGGCCCGACATTGGACGCATTTTTTCATTAGAGCTGCACAACTTTCGCAGGCGCACATATGACTACATGGGCGGAATAGCACACCTGCTTTGCGATCGGAGCATACTACGCATTCTTCGATCTGTAATAATACAATTTTCCTTGTCAATTATTTGTTAGTGCTTTGCGTTAATTTATTTGGATATTGTTTTAATGTAATTTGGATATATCTATAATTTATTTGTGGTACTTGTGGTAATGTAGTGTGCCTTTTTGTGTTTAATAATTTAACATGGCAATTGGTATAATTGAGGCTAAGTTGTATACAAAAATGCAAAAGAGCATTTGGATATTAAAATGGGTCGTATATGAAATTATACAGTAATGAAACTAACCTTAATTCTAGACAATACATTTTCTCGACAGATTAGACATTTTTTAACCCGCGGTGCACACGCATTGCAGCATGCAACGTGATTACATGGGCTGAATAGCATTTCTCTTTTTCCATCGGAACAGACGAGACATTCGTCAATGGTTGCGGAAGGAGCGGCGGCCTCGATTTCGTGTCTATTGAAAAGAAAAGAAGAATAAATACTCTTGGGCAAATTTCACATTAGCATTGGTGTTTTGCTAAAAAAGAATCAAAGGTTAATGGCAAATAAATGCGAATATTCAGTAGTTACCATTAAAGAACCCGTAGTACAATTTCCCATTGCCAATACTCTTTTGCCAAAGGTAAGGAATGGCTCTCCATTTATTCCATTTATTTGCCATGCGCTACTATTGACAAAAAAACGTTGGTAATGGGAAATTTTGCTATGGGAATTAATATTGCTACTGGTAGATTTTGTTTAAGAATAATTCATGATTATTGAAAATTGGTAGAAAGCGATAAAGAGAACTGTGTTGGTACTAACGATTCTTTATCCTTGTGACAAGTAGTTAGGGCCTTCCACAAATTAGGATCTGGGCAAAGGTCAAGAGGTGTTTGACCTTTCTTATTTTTCAGTTCAAGATCAGCACCGTGAGCCGCGAGGAAATAGGCTATGAAGGAACTGCTCTTCTTATCGTGACCTTGCGCACCAAGACTGATAAGAAGACGTCCAACATCTTGAACATCTTGCAATTGACGTAACTGAGTTAAGGTGTGATGACGAAGGGCCTCGTGCAGCGGTGTGTCGCCATCTTTGTCAGCTACGTTCAAATTCGCTCCTTCGCGAACTAGTAACTGAAAAATAAAAATTTTTTAAAATACGATTATTCGTATTCATGTAATTATTATTAATTTCCTCCATTACTTACCCGGACTATCTGCGTGTGCTGCCGTTCCACTGCCAAATGTAAAGCTGTTTGCAAATTGACATTTTGCAAATCCAAATCGGCTTTTCCAGCTCGTGCAAGCTGTTCGGCCACTTCCACGTGGTTATTCAGGGCAGCAAGATGAAGGGCCGTATAACCGTCATCCTTCTTCTCATCGACAATCCATGGTCTTGGTAATTTCGATAGTAAAATTCGCATGGCGCTGTAACAATGAAAGAGACTAAATATTAGTTTTCAATATTTATGAGAAAACAGATGTTTTTAACCCCTTGAAGCATGCTGGTATTTGGGAGTACCACCTGGCAACTCTATAAAGAAACAGCAACTTACATCCGATTCAAGCGAAAATTGGTACCCAGGGATCTTAAGGTTCACTGAATTGTGATCTCACTTAAAAATCTTCAAATTCAAAATAGTTAATCGAGTATGGTATAGTAAGTGAATTGAGTTGAGATTCGCGATCAACGACCTGAAAAACCTCCTAATATCAAATTTCAAGTATATCGTATGTAAGAAAAAATACATTTATTACGACTGAATATGACTTTCAATAGTTAAATAGAATATCTTTTCAATGTTTTGTAGTCTTTTTTATTATATGGTTTATGATGCAATTATGAAATAATCCCATTTAATATTTCCCTCAAACAGAAACCCTGTTAATACATCAACTTTGAAAATGTAATGTAACGCGGAACGCGAAATCCAATTCGAAATTAACGACGCGCCGTGTCGCGTGCACACACCATGGGTTTGAACAAACAAGCCATAGTCGCGTACAGAGCACAAATAATGGATAGTTACGAGTTGGAAATATGTACAGATTTACATTGATTAAAGCCGATTATCCTTTACAATGACAAACATTACAGCCATATGGGGTCGAGAGATTTTCTTTAAAATGGAAAATAAAAGAGAATAAAGGACGCTGGATTAAACGCATCATAAACAAGCAATATAAAAAATTAACCTGAAAAACCCAATGTCACTATTTTACTGTAATACACAAAGGATATCTTTGCATCGAAGGGAAAACAAGTTTAAAAGTAAAGCATCGTTACGTAACAACCAAGTAAAAGAATCCATCATCCGTTTTTACAGGATTAATTTCTATGTTGGATAATTATATGTCCGGTACACAGCGCGCACCAATGTGGGGATGATACCCCACGGATTGAAAATAATTCCTATGGGATCTAAGAATGACAGAAAAGGGCCAGCTGTCGCGAAGGCCTCCTCAACGATGCGATATGGAAATGTGGAAGTGAATTGTTCAGTCAGGATGTGTCCACGTATGTGCAGCTAGTTGTATAGAATGGATGTATGCATCTGTGGTACAGGATGATGGTTTTGAAGTGTTATGGAGAGAAAAGGAAAGAATCCGATGGCCTCATGGGGTGTGCCGAGAGAAACGGCAGACATGAGAACACATGTGCTACTGTGGCACATGTTGGGCACCGGTTTCTAACCCCCAAGGTCTGTCGCAGGGCCGTAATACGAATTCTTAGCATTGGTACTAGGTATTAGGTTAGGTACTTACTGTACACTCGAAGTCATTAGGACTCTCTCGTACATTTATCATTTATCATACATGGACCATTCATTTGGTCTCGAGAAAAACTTTAGATATAGGATTACACACTTGGATTTATAAATTTTCCATTGTTCTTAAGTCACAGTGAAATACGTAATATCTATTTTAAGATTGAGTATATTAAGATTTATAAATATATATGTACGTGTATTACGCACGGGATATCAGGTTGCATATAGCAATGCGAAACAATCGCTATACAGAAATGCTAGTGCCGACGTAATTGGCAAGTTAATTAATTTATAGTTATTAATGCAATAATGGACAGGATTCGGGCTATTTGCATATTCATGCAACTAAAACCCATAGGCAGACAGTTCGAGGTTATTAACGCCAAGTATACTCTCGCAAAGGGTGTGCTTCGATGTGCTTTGCAAATTAGCCTAATTGTCTGTTTACTTTAAATGCAGAGAATTTTCGAAATATCCCACAAATCTTCTTCATACTTATGTAAATTATGCAGTCGTTCTCCTCACTTCATCTCGTGTACAAATCGTTTTAACTACTCGTTATCAAAGGGGAGCCAGACGTTTCGCTGATCTTCTCTCATGACCTCTGATCTTATTCAATCGACATATTTATTTATGAGCACGCCTCTAAATAATACACAAATACGTACGTACATTAATGTTACGCTGACATGAATACTCGTCGCAGCCAATTGCAAATGCACCTTTTGGAAAATTTCAAACGAGGTTAAAATAATACTTGCGAACATTTTTGGTTACCGTCCAAAATGCTTTACGAGCTGTTTAAACGTTGCACCATGGAAGGACATAATTTGTCAAATATTTATTTTTTATTGCCTCTAAGTGATTTCGCAAAGATATTCCAATTGAAATTACAGGAAAAAGTCAAATTTCGATTATGGCTGCACATCGAAAATTCGAAAAAAGACACTGCGTGGATATCTGCAAGCCAGAAATAGTTATCTAATATAAGATGTAATAGCAGCCCCTAACAAAATAGGAAATATACCAACGTAGGGCTGAAGAGTGGTTCATAAAAGAGACATCAGTTCAACATCAAAAGACAAAGGAAACGGAAATAAAAACAGGAGCCAAGGCACACGTGTTTGCGTACGGTTTTTCTCGCACTTAAAGACTGTTTTTACGTGCACTGTCGCTGGCTAAGGGACAATTATCTGACTAACTGTCAAGTGAAGTTTCTCTAAATTTTACAAAAATAGAATAATCACCGTGTCACGTTCTTGTCAATCCCAAAATAATATTATAACGAAAAATACTTTAACACGCTTCTTCGAGTCTGTACTCATGAAACCATTATACCTATAGATAAAGGTAATTAATTAATTTATGAAATATCTTTTTATTATAAGTTACCATGTCTTTATACTAATCATAATTGTTTATTATGCATTATATCCATATTGTATAACTACGTAGGGACATATGTGGTACTATAGGCAATATCGCAGTGTGAAAGTGAGTGTATGTAAGGGGTTATGTATATACATAATATATACATATCTACTATATATGCACTCGAATCTGAAAGAGCCCGTCTCGTATCGTATCGCGGTTCGGTGCATTTAGTGAGTCAGTGACAGGCGGCCATCGTGTCGAGTGATGCAACCGTATAAACCACTGAATAATACTACAATTTAATATTAATAGTTATAGGAAGTTCGTAATAAGTATCGTGCCAGAGACTTGTAGTATTGTGATTTTGAGTATTCAGTGAAACAATCGTTGACAATATAGAGAATATGAGAGAATGAACTAAATGAATACAGTAATGTTGCATATAACAGCTTCAACTGCTGTAGTTGGCTTAACATTTGGTAAGACACTGTAACATATGAGGTAATATTAATTTTTTCTTGTACATACGTATGAAATATATACCTGTAATCTTATTAAGTATATATTTAGAAAAACAGTAACAGCCATTTTGACATCAAAAGCGTTTATACGTGTGCACGTACTACTCAATGTAGAATGAATTGAATCCGTTGTTTGGTTTTTTTTTCCACAAATTTTAAAAGCGACTTTTTTATAACGCGATATTGCGCTGTGCAATTTTAATAAAGAAAATTAGGCGAAAAATATAATAATGCATAAACAGGTAATTTTAAGAAAATTAATAAAAATAATTTATAAATGAATGTGCATAATGCACGTTCACTGTTTGTAATCATTTAATTATGAACAGGAAACGTTCTATTGGTTTCCATCGAGTAGATATTTGGTACGTATTAATAATATGGGAAATTCGCTGGGGAAATGTTTTGCGGTTTGTTGTCCCATTTTTATATTTTATTGCTTTCTCGTTTTTAATAACTTTTTTGTGTTTCTGTTAAATTAGGATGAATGGAGTAAAAATTGTGGTAACTTTTGTTCGAAACTATACTCATGCACGTGTATATATCATGTGACATGTACCTAGAGCAGTATTAACGAAGGGTTACTTTTACTTCTCTTTTTGAAGAAAAACTTTGTGCTCTATTCTCGCATACCATTTACCCAGTGTCGAGTTAGTTGGAATTTACGTAAATTGAGTACAAAATGACTTCCGAAAACTTTCGTGTCCAAAACAAGAACAGTCTTAATGTATAGGGGTAGAGAGAAGTTAGTAAAAAAATCTGTCTACATAAATATTTTACAATGAGACATATCGACTAGTGTTTTCCTCGGTAGCGCGATTTTGACTTTCGAAATTAATTTTTTTTTTTTTTTTCATACGAATTCCTCGCACCCCTCCCAAGCATCTCACGTCAAGCAGTTTCCCCGAAAGCCCAAAAGAATTCTATTCATCTTCCGATTTCAATTGCGCGGCAACTTGGCGAGATTGTTTTAAAAGTTTGATTTTCTATCAGTCATTCACGTCCGTCGAGGATCCAATTCGATCAAACTTGACGCAATAAATAAAGCTTCAATTTCCTGTTACCCGTTTCCAGCACAGTCCTCTTCATCGGCAGACATCCTTACACTCTGCTTTTACGTGTGCGAGCCTTATATCTTATAACTTTTGAAACGTGCATCGCACCCGATGATTCTACTGTCAATCAGAAAATCACAATTCACCGAACGATAAGATTTTCCAAAAAGAAGAAATTAATATTTTACTTGAACACGTCATACTCGGATCGCGGGTAATCATCAATTTGGCAAACTAGTAGCACCGACTCCAATTTCATTCTGGGGAATTATAATTGTCATACAGCGTTGTATCTATTGCTTACTAGTTTATTAAGGTAAATACAGTGTTTATCTTTGTTAGAAATTTTTTGAAAAATAATTGACGCTTCATGGATTTATGAGAATTTGATGTTGTGGCTGCGAGTGCGAAAATTCTCGCCTATATAAAAAAAAAACAAGGATGAGAGTAGACAGCGTGACGTAACATCCGGTGCTTCTATCGGAATTGCCACTCCCATTGGAGGGCTGGTGCACTTTGAGGTGAGGCACTTCAATAGGTATATTTGCCCATGGAATGCCGCGAAGTGGATCGCTTTTAAATTTTAAAAATCGCAAAAAAAAAATAGTAAAAATAGTTTTTTAAAAAAAGTTTTCGTATTTAGCAGAGTGAATTTATGCAAATACAATGATAATGGGAAATTCTGGCGTAGAGTTTTACAATTACAA